GCAACTTCTCTGCCATGTTCACAACCTTAAGTAAAGTAATTTCATATCAATGAACAGACTGTATAAGGATTTCCTTTACTATGCTTAATGGTTACTCTACAGAATCTTGCACAGCCTGCATAATTTGTTCCAGCTGAGACTTCATTTTTAAATCTGTCCACATCACAAAAGAGAAAATCTGTCAAGGTACTGAGTCATCAGAAAACAAATATTTTAACTAGCTGATAGGAGAGACAAATCCATCGTCCTGCCTTCATTAAAAGAACAACCAACAGCTGGTCGTGATCCGAGTCCTTCCTTCATTCGGCGCAACATAGAACACAACGCAGAACGTATAAGGGTTAACGGACGTGCATCCAACCTGATAGAAACTGTCAAAGACAATGCGCGCCCGTTACACATAGCTCTCTATTTTGTCGTGGTCAAGAACTATTTTTATTTCTCCTTTTTTATTAATGCAGGCAAAACACACACACGCTACAAAACAACATCAGCACTTCCGCACGGAACAGCGTCAAAACAACAATACGGTGACCATCCAGAACAAAAATAGTGACAACCGCCTGACTCTGTAGGGGCGAACAACAACAACAACAGCATCCTCCTGTTTCAAACCTAGGTCACTACCCTTTTCCACAAATCTCCGTCCCTATTGATCTGCCTAACATAACTTTTTAAACTTTCTTGAAGACGTTTCACTTCTTCGTCCCAGAGTCTTCTTCAGTTCTAACCGAGTGCTAGGAAATGGTATTTATTGCCCTTACAAAGAACAGCTTTTGGATAAGATGACCTTAAGACTGAGAACTTTCACATTACCGTATTTTCGGACCTTAAGGCATTATGAGGCGGAAACAGTCAATCAAGCATGTCCGGATCCCTCTCGTCATTATCCGAGTCAGTCTCGTTGCTGTTACTTAGCTGTTCAGTGATGAGTCCGGCCTTCGTGAAAACTGGGACCACATTTGAGACTGATACCTTATCCCAAACATCCACGGTCCATTAGCAGATAGTGGCGTAACTCGCCCGGCTTTGCCTCCCTGTCTTGGTGAATGTGTGTTCGCCTTCTGTCATCCAATGCTCCCACGCAGCTCACAATTTAACTTTAAACGCCCTGTTAACATTAATATTTAGCGGTTGGAATTCTTTGGTCAATCCACCCGGAATGATGGCAAGCCCCGAATTAGTTGCTTAATATTGCTTCACTTCGCAGATCTATAAGGATGGAGATTTGTGGAAAAGGGTAGTGACCTAAGTTGGACACTGGAGAGCGCTGTTGTTGTTGTTCGCCTCTCCAGTAGGGGTGGGCGGATCGATCCAAATATTGATATTATCGATACTAAGCAAGTACTTGGATCGGATCGATACTATTGTCCTGGGATCGATACTTCGCTCCTCCACCAATTTCCTCAAAGCGCCGCTTCTCTGCGCAAATAGCGCACCCCCCTCTCTCTCTCGCCCAGCGCCCCCTGCTACTCTCTGAGTCTCTGCCTGAGTGAGTGACTCAGGCACACTTTTAGCCCCTCCCCCTACCTGGCCACTGGCCTGCTGCATCCTGCCTGCCAGGCAGAGAGGGCGACG